TTACTTACCTTTACATAATTAATATTTGATCGCTTTGTGACAGCATGCCGCGTGGGTACACCTTTTTTATGTTTTTTTTTCTGACTCAACAATTGCGATCCACTTAATTGCAGGTTTCTTAGTCTCGTCCGCGGCTTTACGATTCCCTATACAATAGTCTCATGGAGTAACCTGTCGTTCTTTTCCTTCAGTTTTTTTTTGTAATTCGTTCTCCGGTAGTGGATATGATGGATGGTTCACCTTTCCATTGCCTCTGCGAAAGCTCTTCCAGTTTGTTTTCACTGTGCGACTCGAAAGAATCGGCGTTTTGGGCGAATCAGCGTTTTGAGCTGGCAGGGCACGATACGTATTGATCGACACCGGTCGGCAGCGTTTTGGGAGAATTCGCGTTTTTAGGACTAATGTTGAAGGTGTCGATCGCCACAGGTCGCGCTTTCTGAGAGAATCGGCTCTTTGGGAGTCGATCAATACGTACCATTTTTTTTTCCACTTTTTAAAAAAAAAACGAGGACTCTATCGAAACGTCACATCGGTTCCTATGGTTTGTTTTAAGCGCATTCTCGTGAGACGCTGATTCTGTGGAACGCGGATTCTTCCGAGTCGCAAAGTATGAACGGAACATCGAATGCTGTTCATGGCAGAGTAGCAGTCCCCTCTAGCAGGCTCGTTGGGGATCACAAGCGAGAGGGATCGAATTTGCTTACTGACGGGAGGGGCAGTCGTATCTACCATTGAGATTGTTTTCGGTTGCTGACCTTTCACGGTCTTTCCTGTTTTACATGCGATATATTTGTAGTCCCCCCCCCCGCTTGACTTCAGTTTTTGGGGGAAAAGTCTATTATTAGGTTGTCCCAAAAGTTCTGGGACACTTTCAGACTTTTTCCGAATTAAGTTTATTCCAGTGGGAAGCAATTTTGATCAGCTATATGTATGTCACCTTCATTGGCAACTTGTTGCCAATCACTACGCAGCTGTGGTGGAATTCCCCAGCTAAGCTTCGGGATCTCGAGCAGTGTCGTTTTCCAAATGTTTGACCCTGAGGTGTGGTGGAGTAGGCAAACATTGCTCGGTTTTGGGACCAAATGGTAGAGATTTTCCACCCCACTTTGCAGTTGATTACAATAGGGCTCCCTGGTTACCATAGCGTTGGAAGGAGGGAATTCCGTTTCGAGAGCGGAGAAGGTACCCCACCACATACACAGCCTCACCGCCCTACTGGATTGATAGGATTGCGCGGATCAGCGTTCTGCCTTTCTGGGGGATCTAGCCGGTGGCGCTCCCAGGAGTGATTCAACTAGAGGCACCCACTCCATATCCAGTTACAGTGCTGTTCAACCAGCCTGTACAGCGGAAGAGGGAGAGAAGTTGTAGACAGTACCCACATGTGCTCCCCTTGGAGTACTGGTCAACTCATGAGAAAAATTTTGATCGAACTTCAGAACTTTTCTAAGGGAGCGAGGCCTTCTCTCATTTGTGCTTTGGGACCAGTCAAGTGTAAGGACTAGATAGCAAGTTGATTTGTACGTATTGGTTTTAATCAAGGAACACAGTAGGTCCAAATCCAAGGCAGGTGGCCTCCTTGGACGAAGTTTTTCACCCGGATAGAAGTCACTAAAGCAGAAGCAATTGAGCCATTCCAAAGCCGTACTGTGGAAGCTAACATCAAGATCTAAATAAGGGAAATGCCGCTTATGGCTCCAACCACGTTGTGGCTTGGTAGAGATTCCATATAGCGAAGTGTGTCGAAAATGATGAATTTCAATTACCGTTTTTCATATGAGAACAGCGACTGCGAGGGACGGTGAAGAAGCTGTGGAATGCTTACCTCACACACTTCCCATAGACCACATAACTGGATCTCGAAATGGCTGCGGAAAAATCTGATACGAGATTCAAAAAGTGTCCCAGAACTTTTGGGACAACCTAATAGTTCTTTTTTGGAAAATTTAGGAAGATGGAAGCAAGTTTATGGGAGGAAGAGAATGTTACGGAGTAGCGGAATTCTGAGGAAAGCGTAGTTTTTGCGAAAATTTCCCCCCAACTGCGGGCGGACGTTGACTCTGCCCTTTGCGCGTCTAGGGTAAGCACGCCTTGCATTGTACTTTTCAAATCGGCTTTTTGTTTGCACACCGGGATGAGTTTGGCGCGATGCCAAACCTGTTCACCAGTTGTTAAAGCGAGCAAATGATATGACTGTATCATATCGTTCATATTACTCGTTTTCCACCACTTTGTCACATGCGCGCTTCAAGAAGGCAGAGAACAGCGTGACACACTCACACTGCCTGACACGCCCAGCCGTCCGCAGCGAACTAGAGTATATGCAAATTGTTTCGGTCAAAAATGTGTTCGTCGTGGTTACGAATCACTCAAATTACCGTATTTATGGGTGAAAAATGAGTTGCAATGCGTTTCCCTCTACTCCTGGCGTTCACTACACTAGTCGTTCTTGGGCGCTTGGCTTGGTGGGGGCAGTAAATAGTACTAGACTGAGCTTGTGCAGGACAGCTTGAAAAGACCTGCAAATGCATGTTACCAAACTGGCTCACTCGTTTCATGTCGCAGCTTCTCTAGAGTTCACAGGTCTCACTCTCAAAGCGAGACCTGTCGTTTAACATGAACCACCGAACGAAACTAGCGTAAGTGCAAAATGGGCGCAATTCGGTGACGGGGGGGGGGCATTTTGTCCTTTTATTGCTTCACTAGTTCTGGTTACAAGTCTCACTCTGGTGAAACCTGTGAACTCTTGTGAAGCTGGAGCAAGCTCGTCAAGCCATCATGGTAAAACCTGTCAACACGAGAAGAGGTTGATACATTGATGAGAAGTAGCAAGTGCAAAATGCTCTTCCCTCACCCCCCCCCCCCGTCGCCGAACTGCGCCTGCAAAATGCTCTTCCAAGCGGAACAGCGCCTCGATCTTGTTTATACTTTTGTTTATTATGCAGTTATGTACCTTATTGACAACAAATTCCCAGTATGTAAGAAATGAAATCATTCTAACAAAGAGGATAAAAAGGTGGGCTGGAGTTACCGTATGTAAATGAGCAGTGTAAAACATCACTTGGCAAGATTGGGGTGTGAAAAGGAAGTCAGCTGGAACTAGAAAACCCGCAAATAGGCTGACTTAGGCGCGGATTTGTTCAGAGCACACTTGATGCCAGGTTAAGCTAGCAAGAAGTTTGCTCTGAACGACTGCGCAAACCCAGCCTATTTGTCCTGTTGATAGCCTTATCACTTTTTTGATATTACTGTGATTGGGGGGGGGGAGGTATAGGGAGGTGGGCACCACTGTCGCGGCGGGAGGGCCTCAACGAGCAGGCTTACTTAAACCTCCGCGTGCCCCACCCCCTCCTGCACTCGCAGTTCCACACCATACCTTTTTCGTGTTAACAAAGTATCCATGCCCACTCTACTCAGAGCTGAAGTAATTTTTAAAAAGTGGATAGGTGGTATGGTTTTTTGATTCACTCCTAGTCGAGATTTTGCTCAGCCTCTTGAATATTTGTACGTTTGGCGCTAAGAAGGGGGGGGGGGGGGGGGGGGCACTCACCCATGTGTGCGTCCATTCCCCTAGCCAGCGCATAGGCCTACAGCGTAGGCGCAGGA